ATACACGCTTGCGTAGAATTGCACATTCAAATGAACTCCACATTGTTTTTTGTGTCCTTTTTATTTCACTTGTATTCTTGTTCAGCCAGCAAAAGCCTCACGGTCTCAAGCCTCCCTCTCTCGGGAGGGCCCTGGCAACTTTTCACGGCGATTTTGCAAGGCACACTTTTTCATCATCGGGGATGTGTTTGGTAAATGTCACTTCACGGTGCATTGTTTACATATATTTGTTCATTTAATCTGTGGATGAACCCGGAGGCAACCCCGTGCAGAACAAGTAGGGTGGGGGGGTTGAACAGAGAAACTCCGAGCAGAGGGGTGCCCGAGTCGGTAATTGCGGCATGTCACGGCTGTGACCACCGGGACACCCCTGCCAACCCAAACAATTGTCATTTTAAAAATAAGCGCACAACGGTAATACAACATTTGGAAAACGTAGCATGCCAAAAATAGTGCAAATGTATGCAAAACGCAGCCCGAATTTGTTTAACAGATTTTGTCTGCATTACATTTCCAATCAACGTCCTGCACGGGTAATCCATTTCCCCAGTTTCCTCAGCGTTCAGACTTCGCTTTCAATTTCTCCATCTGCCGCCGGCTGCAGAGTCGCAGTGGCATGTGAACTGCCCATTTTAATTTGTCTGCTCAATACACCTACACGCGTGCGCGCACGCGCGCGAGAGAGTACGCACAGCAGACATTGCGCGCCGCGCCCGGCCCAGGAAAATGAATACTGCGCGAGTAGAGAAAGGCGAGGATTAAACGTGTAAAAGGTAGAGGTGCAGCCCCTGCAATTGCTCTGCTCACGCCACTGTTGGCGGAAGGGCCTCTCCACGAGAGGGAGTGCTCGTGGAGAGCTCCTCACTCAAGAGGATCAGAATCAGAATATTTATTCTACATCGCAGGAAAAATCCGATGAGCTATAAAGCTTTTCGATGTAAAGCTTTCGTGACTGCAGCAGGGATTCATCTTCTTGGTTCTTTCGGTAAAGTCACGTAGAAGGAAAATAATAAAATAATAAAAATAAAACATAATAAATAATTCTCACGACGTTTCGGCCACAACGCAAGCAGCCGTCTTCAGGTGAAAAACAGGTCTGTCGGTAAGACAGCATCTGAATGACGCTGTCTTACCGACAGACGCTGTCTTCCCGACAGACCTGTTCTTCACCTGAGGACGGCTGCTTGCGTTGTGGCCGAAACGTCGTGAGAATTATTTTATTATGTTTTATTTTTATTATTTTATTATTTCCCTTCTACGTGACTTTCCCGAAAGATCCAAGAAGATGAGTTATAAAGCTCTTTTTTTCCCAGAGATGTCCAGTCGGGGCGGGTAAGAACGTCACAACAAACGACACAAAAACACGATAACAGTGTAGAGTATAGGAAAGGTAAACAAATCACGAATAAAACTAAACTATTTTTGTTTTATCTTACCAGGTAACGACCACTGAGCTATTTTTTCTGAAGTGGCCTGGCCACAATTGACAGCTCAACGAAGCACAATCCTCAGAGACGCCCTGGAAGAGCTATCGTTTGCGGCCAGGTTGCTTCTGAAAAAATAAGCTAATAGCTCAGTGGTCTTTGCCTGGTAAGATAAAACAAAACATTGCTTAATTTAATTTGTATATATATCTATCTTATATAAGTGGCGAGGGGGTGGGTGACAGCACCACGCCCGGCCGCCTTTGTCTCCCCAGTGGCGATGTTCACACACCACAGCAGTTACTCGTTTGAGGCTGAGTCGACCTAGGGGAGGCCCAGAAGCGGGTAAAATAATCATCACCGGTGGTGGCCGTGAGCGGGAATCGAACTCGGGTCGCCGGGTTCGTAGCGCGGCGCGCTAAAAAACTACACTACAATGCGTTACGCTTCCACATGCGCGGGTCACGTGACAGATTTGACGTCACAGCTCACTTGCCGCGCAAAAAAATTGTGCATTATTGAGCTCCCCCCCAAAAAAAAACACAAAAGTGTATTTTTATAATTTTTGCATGGTGTACAGTCTGGAAAGTACCCACATGGCAAATTTCAAGTTTGTTGCATGTCGGGAAGTACGCTAAACATTTTGAACAGACACACATAATCACAGCTTTGCCTTTAATATATATAAGAGCTTCATAGCTCATCGGATTCCTCTAGTATGATTACATTTTCTGATTCTGTATGTATACATATGTCTTGATTAACCAATAACACCTGGGCCTTCCTTATGACTTCCTACCAGTGAGAATTCACGTGGCCTCAATGTGCACCAAGCATGGCACAAGAGCTGCAGTTATGTCACCTTCGCGTGGTGGCGAATGGCAGCTGTTGGTTCTGTCATACACATGTCTCGGTCTCGGGCCTCCCCTCGGTCGACTCAGCCTCAACTGATTGCCCGGGGCACGTGTGCGGTGTATAAGCATCAGCACTGCGGAGACAAGGTTCGGCGGGGGCACGGGGCTGGCCACGTCCGACCGCAACCTCTCCGTTCACATTTCCCATCTTCACTGGCGCTCCTCCGCTAAGAGCACTTGGTGCAACAGCCTGCGTAGGCTACATGGGGGGGGGGTAGATCTTTGTCTTTGCTCATTGACATTGCTATCGAGAGATAAGTGATCCAGTGAATTGGCTAAACATGCCAAGCTGGGGCAGTCGACGTGAGGTGCCGTGGCTCTGCTCAGGGGGATAACTGCACTCCCCAGAGGCTCATTAGACCAGCAGCGGGCGCAAGCAGTACCCCCCCACCAGCTGCGTGGACAGAGGCGGCGCTCGCTGGGTCACAACGGTCCGGTTTGAGGTCAAGCGCCCCCCCCTCCCCCCCCCCCAAGACCCACAGGGAACGAAATTCGGACCCATGAGAAAAATATCGGTGTCACGCCGATGCGTCATCGATTCCTTAATTTAACGTCGAACACGACCGCAGGTTTCGCTTCGCTGTTACGCGGAAAACGCGTTCGAAGAAAAAGGACGTGGAAAGCAAAACCTATTGCTGTGCGTGTCGTTGTTAGCAAGGCGTGTCTCACGTTGTGTATTAGTGTGCTTCGTGTAAGGTGTCTCATGTTGGGGGTGGGGGGGTGTGGCGGTGCGTGCCATTCACCCGTATTTAAGGTACACCCACAATTAGGAGCGAAAGGGTACAGGCTGCGCGCGTTAATTGGCTAGCCGACTAAAACCTAACGGCGACGATCGGCGGCTCGAGAGTGAGACATGAGCGCGCGAGAGAGCGAGCGAGCGAGAGCGGGCACCGCACAAAGAACAAAAAACCCGGAGGTGGAGCGCGAGCAGCGGAATTGATATTCTGGATGACGTCGTAGGAAATCAAAACGGATTGCGCACCCCTCGGTGGGGACATTACCATTACCGGGAGCGCGGTTGGGCCGTGTGCGCGTGTACTGGGGGGGGGGGGGGGCACGGAACGAGCCGGGATAAAGTTGCGCAGAATGTGCAAAAGTGAGCGATATAGAAATATATACGATTTTAATTTTCCTTTTTATGAAAATGAAATAGTCGCAAATAAAATGTTTCTGTTCCGTCGCTCAGAAAACAACAATTATTTTTACCCACTATAAATAACCGCCAAAAAAATTTGTGGGGGCGTATGTGTATGTTAATGTGGGGAGCGGTAGTGTAGTGGTTGGCGCGCTGTGCTACGAACCCAGTGACCAGAGTTTGATTCCCGCTCATGGCCAACACCAAGTGACGATTATCAGAACTGGTCCTGGGCCTCCCATAGGTAGACTCAGCCTCAAATGAGTAACTAGTTGCATGCGTAAACATCGCCACTAGGGAGACAAAGGCGGTCGGGTGCGGTGCTGTCCACCCACCCCCTCGTGTGACGTGCCGACCGCACTTTCCCCAACAGTCTGTTAAGGCTATACAGGGGATCTTTGTCTTTGGAAAATGAATATACATTAATAAAAGCACAATCAACAACAAAATAAAGTCAACACATTTTTCAAGAACACCGCAACATAGCAGGCGACGTTTCGGGCAATGATTCTTCTTCACGGCGCATAAATCACGTGCAGGAAATGGGCCCGCTCTTTAGAGCTCACGATTTTTTGTGCCATCAAACGTCAGGGCGGTGTTACTGACGAATGTAGAGTTGTTTCGTTTCGCGTGCTTGTGCACCTCTGTAAAGGCAGCACGAGCAGCAGCAGCAGCGGCAAAAACACAAAATGCCTTTACCATATAGCTCCAGCTATGAGGATCGAATATCGGTTTGAACGCAACGACGAGCGTTGCTCGGCGAATTAATGAATTGCTGCCGGGTCGTAATGAACGCACAAGACAGAAATTACGGTCGAATGAAATAATCGACGACGGGGCGTGTGCACGCTACACGTCGCACGTGTGCACGTCACGCGTGTGCACGCTACGCGTCGCACGTGTGCGTGTCACACGTGTGTATGCTACGCATCGCACGTGCGCGCGTCACGCGTGTGCACGTGTACGCGCCGTGGCACGGCCGCGGTCTGTCGCGGCGCGACCACCCGCGCAGCGGCACTGCCGGTGGAGTAGCGCGCCGCGCGTTCCCCATGAATTATTTACGCCCACGGTGAGCGCAAGCGTCAGGTTGGAACGCCGTCGCCGCACTGTATGCCACGGTGTGGATAAAAAAAAAAACTTACATTCGCGCGCCTTCCCGCGGGACTGCGAAACGCGGTGGACATTTTTAATAAATTAGCGAGAAATCGGGCGGGCGCGTTCCGCGATTTTGCACGACCCTCACGATGAAAGGTCACAATTCTATTCAAGAAATAAAATAATAAAAATAGTTTAGTTTTTTTACATTTTAAAACCGTTTCATGGTAAGAAAACATCGTATTGTTGAAATAAAAAAAAAACAATGCCAAGACATTGAGCATACCCATGAACATATGTAGCAAACACAAACAACAACTTGCGTTCGTAATGCATCCGTAATGCAAACAACATCCCAAGAGTGCATCATTTCTCCACAGGAAGCCGTGGCAGGAAACGGGAGGGAGAGTCACATGACCTTGTCATCCTTACCTCTCAATTATGTCAGCAATTGTGCAGGCAAACATGAGGAGCCCTTCTGGCATCTGCAGCGCCACTGCAACAACACACGCGAGACTGTTCAGCATCAGGCGATCGACAGCTCCACGCTAGAAACTACACGGGTTGTTTGCGTCAACAACAAGGGCCCGCTAATGTTCACGTGGTACACAATCCTTTCATCATTGCTATGCAATGTACACATTACTCAGCCGTTACACCGTATTCTACGGAGTATAAGACGCACACCAAACTTTGTAGGTAATTTTCAATAGAAGTGTGTGTTTCATAATCGTGAAAATAAGGTACAACGAAGGGCTGGGTTCCGGAAGACGCTGCTCTTAAATAGGGAAAAGATGTCTTCTGGAAGAGCATTCTAAACATTTACAGATTAAAAGATATCAAAACACGTCTTCCGGAAAGACATGTATGAATGTGGAGAGCCATCTTCCAGAAGACGATTACGTGATTATGAACGCGCAAGTTTAGAACGGCGGAAGCGATGTCTTCCGTGAGATGATTCTGAGCGGTTGGTGATATCTTCTGTCCTCCGGCTGGCAATGTACCGCTGAGGAAGAAGTCTCTTCCGGAAGAGGATTCATAACAAGATTGAAAAAAAACCGTCTTCCGGAATAATCTGCATTCTCCAGATTATAAGATGCACCCCCCCCCCCCCAAAACTCCTGGTTTGAAATTCAGGAGAATACGCGTGTGCTGTCTCAGGCGCGGTGTGCCTCTTGGATAGTTTAACGGGCCGACGGGCTTAGCTAAAAAGTGCGCAGCCAAGGGACAAAAATAAATTTGTACGGTGGGACAAAGTAAGCATTGGGCCTTTCCTCGCGCGCGGCGAGGCACGCAAATCGGAGGTGCTGGAGGAAGCTTTAATTTCGCTGGCGAAAAAAAGACAGCAATGTTTGCAAAATGCTCATTTTTTTATATATATAAATATAGGCTTCCTTCACCCCTGTCGTGTACGATAAATCACCGGAGCAAGCGGTGTTTTGCACACTTGTTACAGCCTTCAGTCGGGCCTGGCTGACAGCAATGAACTAATTAAGCGTGACACCTTTCAAAACGCCGAGCCATAAAGCACATTACCGTCGGAGACAGCAGCGGAACGAAAAAGCAAATAAAGATAAACCTATAATTGCACGCACGGCGGAAATTAAACACCGTCGCAATTTTACACGGTTAACGTTTTTTTTAACAACTCGAAAATGGGCAAACCAACAGGCGGTAATCTTCAACTAAAATGTTTCAAAATAACATTACAGCAATAATAATAATAATCGTAATTTTCATGCTCGGAGTGAGATGCTCTGCAGTGTGATGTTACTGTACCTCGCCTGAATCCGGCCTGCCTTATCCTCCAGATGGTTTTGTAAATCTCAAAATTATAGTTGCCTGGCAGGGTGGCGACAGCTTGCTGGAGCAGTGGATCTTCAAGTATCTCCAAGGGCACCTGGTGGATTACCCGCCTGCCTGAGGCACAATAAAAGACAACGATCACAACCAGCCCCACCGCGCAACCTTTAGCAAGGACAATTCTGTTAGCGAGCACCTATTATCATGGCTGGCACGGCGCAACGACGAGCGTGACGGTGTGGCCGGCACCACGTCAGGACCGCCTCTCCATCTCCCGCTGAGGTTCGAAGTGGCCGGGAACCGAACAGAGTTCTCGGTGTAGCGCAGTTGACTGACCCATTGCACCACTTGTTACCCCCAAAGCACGCAGTTACCCGGGCGTGTGCATGGTGCTCAACAATGCATTATTACAGTGTAAAAATCAGCACGCCCTGCAAAACTACTGTCATTATTGACATACACATATAATCTTCTCCCGACCGGTCTGGCACAAGGCAATATGGTGCAATGCATTGGCCCATTCATTATACCCAATGATTTGTTAAAAGCCCCAAACAATTAGGCATGCATAGGAAATGTAGGCGTGTGTTTGTGCCTTCTCTACATTCTCGGTTCGATCATTTCAGAAAATAATGGAGTCCTTTGTCAATGAACTGCAAGGGAAGGGCCCCCCCCCCAATACCATGTCAGTAATAGCGGGTTGTTTGACTATACTTCACCACGCTGGTCAGGAAGACAGGTTCAGATATCACTGACAATCGATGATAGCCTAGGCTAGTAAACACATGGAGTCGAGAACAAACCTGAGTTAAGGACATCATTTTCAACTAAACTATTTTCATTTGACCAGGTAAGGCCCACTAAGCTGTACAGCTCTTTTTCAGAACCGAGCTGGCCACAAATGATAGCCCAATGAGGTGGCTTATTGCGTTAACTGATAACAAAAGTAGGCAGGCTTTGACAGGACACGTCGCGAGAAGGAATGAAGGCCAGTGGTCGAGACTAAACAGAGAGTGGCAGCTAAAGGAGATGAATAAGCCCAGGAGTTACGTCCGCCCGGGAGATGGAGTGGACATCAAGTCCGTGTGCGGGAGCTCGATGGAATGTCAATTGGTGCGCCCAAGAGCGACGGCGACGGCTCGGGGAGGCCTCCAACCGGCAGGAGGATTGATCACGGCTGATGAGGACGATGCAGAAAATGTTTATTTTAACTATTATTACATGAAGAGTATTTTTGCTCTCGACTCCCCAATTGGACGTGATGGGCAAGACAGTGCCACGGTGAGCGAGCGCGACGACTGGTGGGTTAACACAAAGCACCGCGGGCGCGAATCCAAACGCGACTTCAAAGCGAGGAATTAATAAGGAGCCGCTTAATGCAAAACGGAGGGAGGGGGGGGGTAAAGGGACCGGAAGCTTTAACTCAAGTACAAATTGGTACGAGCATTGCACGCTCATAGCAACTACAAAAAATATCTACGCAAGTGGACATGTTTACATTAACCGGATCATTATACGGCAATCAGTATTGCTACTGGCGTACGGCAATTTTGCCGATTTATACACCGCGAGAGTCATATTCCACTTCAGTGCCCTCCGGGGTTCCGCTGAACAAAAACCCACAACCGTGTTTCTTGTAAACTCGCTGACATCTGCTAAATGGAGCCGCCCCGTATAAAGATCTTTAATAAATAAGCACCGGCGTGATTTATCCCCAAAGTCCCATCAAGCAATGCGATACTTGTAAACAATGCAGTGTGCTGGGAAGAAAATAAATACTTGTTTATTGGATGCACTTTCAGGGTTTTGTGATGATGGGACAATTTATCAGTTTGACTTCATTCTGCACCGGGTCCCCCGGTGGCAGTTTTCTCGAGATTGGCCGGACGTGGAGTGGGGCAGCGCCAGCGGTGTCGTTTTTCCATTTTTATTTTTAACAAATTGCACGGTCGACGTAGAAACGCCGAGCAAATCAGCGATGTGACTGCCACCCCCAAACCCCCCCACACCTTCACCACCCCCCACACCCTCACCACGCCGCCCCCCCCCAACACCCTCCACACCCCTACCCCCCGACTGAATTATTCCTGTGAATTTCGCGCAAGCACGTCTCACCGTGCGCATTCTTAAGAGGCTGGCCGCTTGCTCCTTTTAAATATTTCGCAAAGGTGGCGAACAAGCGAGATGGCGGGATTGCATGGCAATGTATATTGCCTCTTCAAAAATGACATTTTGCTATTTATGAAAACGTCCAGGCTGAGGCTGTTCTTTTTTTCCTCCAACACTTTGTGAGCAAGACATAACGGCGCTTATGCAATAATGTAATCTAATTTGACTTTATTGAGTATCGAAAACAAAGATATCCCTGGGAACTACATGTGAAATATATTAATTATTATTAGACAGAAAGCAAATTTAAAAAAATACACACTCTGCAGACTAACGGATAAGCATGTGAAACAGAACACGGAATAATCAATGCCTCTCAGTGTCTGTGCCATTAAGTTTGGAATAATGATGCGATGCAGTTTCAAAACTAAGTAACGCATGCCACGTGTCTCTGCAAGCAGCTCGCGAGTGGAAGGTTGCCAGCTCAACTTCCAGTTGGGCAGCTGACTCGGCCCATCATCCCTGCGTGGTGGATCAAATGTAACACCGACACTTTATGAGGAACTCAACATCGGTTGCTCTATACCAGTGGTTCTTAATCTGGGGTGCACGCACCCCCTGGGGGTGCGGGATACCCTTTCTGGGGTGCGAGACATGCCAAGTTTTTTAAATAAGGTAAATCATCGAAAACACAAATTAAGCATGGGCACGTAAGTACGAATACTTTGTTTTTATCAAACCTACGTATTTATTAAAATTATACATCGAATAATGATTGAGAACCCAAGGTGTGCAAGGCTGCAGTAAGGTCTTCTTGATTCTTTCGGTAAAGTCACGTAGAAGGGAAATAATAAAATAATAAAAATAAAACATTATAAAATAAAAAGGTTAAGAATCACTGCTCTATATCGAGAGACAAGTGACCGCCACAGGAATGTGGAATTTCCAGGCGCCGGGCTCGGGGATGTAAAACAGTAAAAATTAACCCGCAAAAACAAAGTTTTTCACTATAAATCCTTTATATGCGTGGCGGCTAGAGTCCTCTCGTCCTCTGGCTTGAGATGGCTGCCACCTATGGGTCAGATGATTGCCTGGCACCATTAAGCAATTGGTAATTAAATATAATTTTTTGTTCCTAAAAAGTGTAAAATTTTGGGGGGAAAAATTCACGAACATTAATTGTCACGCACAACGAGTCTGTGTGCAAAATGTCGGCTCGATTGGATCACGGGAAGTGGGTTAAAAAACGACCGAAAGATTTGCACGGTCGTAAGCGCGCAAGCAAGCAAGCAAGTGACCTTAATATAAAGGATTTAAAAAGAGAGCATCACCTCGATGCTCATTTATGAGCAGCAAATCACTTTGCGTTTTTATTACTGAGTGAACGTGGTTGTTTTGACCGAAGCAGCTCGCCAAATGAAAAACAGCACGGTCCGCCTTCACGGTAAAAGTGGGGTTTAACCACAACAAAGTGCACGGGAGAAACCCCCGCAAAGGAAGGAGCAAAACACATCAGCAGCATATCGATTGATCAGCAGAAAAGCAAGGGCCAAAGAGGTCACGTACAGAGGATGAAGAAGGCCACTTAGAGGGAAAAGTCTCCGTGGTGTTTTCTGACAGCATCTCCATTAAGTTGTTTCGTCAAAGTCTTCACGGAACTGAAACACCAATCCATTGCAGTCTGCGGCCAACTTTGTCATAGTTTTAATACAAAATGCCCCTTTGTTTATCCACAAAAGCCTCGCAAGAATTTGGCTTCCTTGAGGATGTTTTACTTTAATTCAAGACTTCCAGCACAGAGGCTGAGCAGGCTGTTTGGGTGTCAAAAAATGCCACGAGTCATTATCTGTGACGGCTACGCTTAAAACTCCCTCGGTGTGCTGCCGGTTGAAATTACGGTGCAAAGATTATTCTATCCCCACCAACGGCCTATTGCCACCCCCACAGCACTATAAATGGGGACCCCAAGTTAGCCTTCGATCGGCAGGTCGCGCATGTCTGGAGAGGGTAAAGTGTGAGGACATTCCCACATCTCTTCCAAGACGTCCGGGCCAGCAGTGGCAGACAAAGAGTGTGCCAGCATTGGCGTCAGAAAGCTATTGCAGGGCTGCACCTTTATCTTTTACATTTATTAATAAACGGTACTGTATGTAAAATAAAAATGCCGAGTCGACAGCCTTTAGTCGATCCGCCGCTGGAAGAAGGGCTAGCCCACACTGTCAGCCGAAAGGGTTATCTGACCGTACTTAACCAATCTGGTCAGTGCGGGTTAGTGATAGGCGGGGCCCAGGACTTGTGCAGACAACACTCACCATCGCCGGGAATTGAACTCGGGTCACCGGGTCCACAGCGCAGTGCGTTAACCACTGCGCCACAGCAATCCCCAACGGAATATGCAGTGCTGTGCATATATTGATCTTACATCGTACATATGTTCCCCATTTCAAATAGCTTTCTTTCAATTAATCCTATTCTACCGATACAATAATCAACTAATCCTACGGTACCCTAAACCCCGTTGTGTTGCTTTTCCTCAATCATTATCACGTAGCGTTCCACCTAGATTCCATCACTCAAGCCCCAACGTACGTGTACATTTCCTTTCAGTCAAACCCAGCTGGCATCTCTTTGAAACACACACACACACACACTGAACACTAAGTGTCAAAAGCATTTCAACGTTTCTTTGGAGGCAGCGGGATGGTAATTGGTGATGGCAATGGACGCCGCTGTTTATGCTGCGTTTGCACGCAGGTGCGCACCGTGATCTCATTACGCTTCCCAAGAAGATCTGCGCAGTGAGGCGTCGGAGCCAAACGCAAGCGGCGCTAACGCAGCGCTCCACTGACCAACCGTATTGACCAACAGCCCAAAATTGTATTGCGTTACCTCCTTTTAAAGATTACACACGAAAGCCGATTCGATAGCGGTCATCCTCGACACTTCTTTTCCACTCGACAACCGAGCTGCACCAGGGCCGTGTTGGGTGAGACCAGCGCAGCTTAGGAGGTGCCAGATTGTGCTGCTGCAGTGGTGGGATGTTAACTCCCTCGCCTGGTATATAGGAGGTCGTGGGTTCGATCCCAACCCTGACGCCTGTATATTTGGAGTTTGCATGTTCTCCCCATGGTCGCGTGGATTTTTCTCCGGGTCCTCCGGGTTTTCCCTCCACATTTGTAAGCATGAATTTAGAGTATTTGGCTGCTATACATTTTCACGTTATAAGCCACTTCGCTGAGCTATCATTTGTGGCCGGATCCTTTCCGAAAAAGAACTGTATAGCTCAGTGGAACTTCCCTGGTAAAATAAAAAAAAAATTCGTTTCGTTTATCCACTGCAGTACCCGACGCACGAGAGCAGCAGTGCACTGACGTCATGTGAAATAAACTGAGTTCGGTCGTATGCAGATTGTGCGGTAACGCAGTCTGAGCTGGACTGACATCATGGGCAATGACCGCATCATTAACCAAGCCCATGCTTGCCACCCAAGCCAAATGCAGATGTAGTGTGAGGCTAGTGTAGCATGGTGTGGTTACGGCTTGACTTTGTATATATCCAGTGGAAAACCACCCGCACCACGAGGGCCCCGTGCTGGCTTGGTTTCGATGTGCCAGTGGGAAACCGGTAATAGAGAGATGCTGGCCCCTACTCGGGGAAAATGGAATTTCAATCACAGCCTTATGGCCAGCTGTAGAGATAAGTGCCACCCATTGCTTGTTTTTGCAAGGGGCACCTGGTTGGCTACGTACGGTGCGAAATAAGTTCTACATACGAAACTCATATTGGCTTGTAAATGCCAGGTTAATGAAGGTGACGATGATGTAACGCAGCGGATGCACTTAACTAAGGCAGCACTGTACTGACAACAGCCGTGTGTGTCCCGCATTCACCCTTGCAGAAAGATCACCGGTTTGCAATGCCATCTCACCTTGGCATAAATGTCACGAAGATCGGTGGCGTAACCCGAGTTCGTGCACAGTGGCAATGCTCCCAGTCTCCATGTTCCACTACCGACTAGCCCCTGCTAAACTCTCCCATCTCATCGCACTCCCGTCCACACACTCTCCGCTCCTCTCATCTCACTCGACTCCCCTCCATGCCCTTTCCACTTCAGCAACCAAGGATTCCTGTCGACGTCCACCATGTCAACCTTGGCTCAGTGGGAGGTCATGCATCCTCCTCTGCTACCCCCATTGCCTTTAAATACCTTCCCACAAACATCCGTGCTGATGACTCAAGTCCAGGCCCAAGACCTCCCTGTTCTTCTCTGCTTATGGCTGCCTCTTTTTCCCCTATATAAAAAAAAATATCCCTTGTTTTTGTACAGTGTCTTGGGATGCAGTCACATTTTCATTCCAATTTGAAGTAGGAGAAAGCACTCCACTTTAATGAATAATGAAATATATTCTTGTTCTTAATCACTGCATACTAAATGTATTTAATGCATTAATTCAAATATGTAAGTACATGTAAATGCGCTAGTCTTGAGTGTGATACATTTATTGATGTACAAGTCCCCCATGATCCATCCCCCATGACAGTGCATAATGAGTTTTTGTGCAACACTGCTGTTTGGTGCAGACGGGCGACACGGCTCTGGCTGTTGGGTCTTGACAGTAAATGTCTGGCAACACTGCAGCATTTGTTTAAGAGGCGCGTAGATCTGCTGATGAGACTCAGACAATCGAAACCAGACAGTCCAGAGGTTTGGCCGCTGAAACTAACGCTGCTGTTAAACATGGTATTAAAGACCAAAGTGCAGACGGGTGATTTAAACGTTAAAAAATATATAGAGTGTAGACACTGACTTTTGTCAGTTTATTTTATGCAATATAAACAACAGGCTTCGTCCAATGCTGGATTAGAGGCCCCCCCCCCCCCACCCCACTATGCCGTGTTGGCCATGCGGTTTGACCATACTTCACTACGATGGTCAGTAGCGGGTGGGTGATAGGGCTGCACACAGACAGTTCAGGATATAATTCGCCACTGATGATTGCCGTTAGCCAAAAAGCGAACGAACCACTACGCCACCACTCAAATTTCTTATTTATCTAAACTGAAATGTTATCATCCATGTGATCAATTATTAAACTCTAATATCATGAGCACTTATTACAGCAAAAAAAATATTTGGAACCATACCAAAATGAAAGTTGTAATACTATGAGAATGGAATATGAGAATAAGTTTTCCCCTTATTTCTGGCAACATAACAGGTGTTAAGTTGTAAAACACCAAACTAAAACCTTTTACAAGGAATCATGTCTGCATTAACCACGAATATTTGTGGTCTCATTACTCTGATAGTGCATTGTCTTTGTGCTGTACACCTTTTGACGTCCTCTGGTCTAACACCGTTTGAGATGAGCCTCAAAAGAAAGCTGTCTCTGGTGTGGACCAATCAGTTTCAAAGACAATGCATATATTATCAGAGTATGTTTTTTGTTTGCATTTTGACCACAAGTATTGCGGTTAATGCAGACATGATTCCTTGTAAAAGATTTCAGTTTGGTGTTTTAACATCTCATTAGACCACCTTTGCCAGTACCAAAATATAATAGGGTTTTCCCCCTTTTTTCTGGCAACAAAACTGAAACCTTTTTACAAGGAATCATGTGCGCATTAACCACAATACTTGTGGTCAAAATGCAAACACCAATTGAGACGAGGCTCAAAAGAAAGCCGTCTCTGGTGTGGACCAATCAGTTTCAAGGACAATGCATATATTATCAGTGTGTTTTTTGTTTGCATTTTGACCACAAGTATTGTGGTTAATGCAGACATGATTCCTTGTAAACAAAGGTTTCAGTTTTGTTGCCAGAAAAAAGGGGAAAAATCCTATTATTATCTTAACACCTGTTTTGTTGCCAGAAAAAAGGGGGAAACCTATTCTCATATTTTGGTACTGGCAAAGGAGTTCCCATGATGTAGATGCTCACCCCGAGCTCTCATTACTCTGATAGTGCATTGTCTTTGTGCTGTACACCTTTTGACGTCCTCTGGTCTAACACCGTTTGAAACGAGGCTCAAAAGAAAGCTGTCTCTGGTGTGGACCAATCAGTTTAAAAGGCAATGCATATATCAGAGCATGTTTTTTGTTTGCATTTTGACCACAAGTATTGCGGTTAATGCAGGACATGATTCCTTGTAAAAGGTTTCAGTTTGGTGTTTTAACATCTTAACACCTGTTTTGTTGCCAGAAAAAAGGGGAAAACCTTTTCTCATATTTTGGTACTGGCAAAGGAGGTCCCATGATGTAATACTGTATTATATTAAAAGTTATATGGTGGTTCATTATTTCCACAATGTTTTGGCTTGTGTATTTAACAGGCCTATGATCTCAAAAACAAACAGCCAAAGGCAAACTCAGACTCTTTAATTCATCCGGTGAGGCCATTAGGCTAAGCAGCTCTTTAACAGCTGTTTAAATGCCAAGCTTCTGGTCAAGCGAGCCCCTATCGGAGACTTTTAAATAATTAATCGTGTGACTTTAGCGGCTTTTTTTTTACGAAGTTTATTATAAATTCGTGTCAAACAGGCATGGCCCCACAGCTTAGGAGCATATCTACAAGATACATAACAGTCAGAGAGCATCTCCTTGGTTCTTTCGGTAAAGTCTCGTAAAAGGGAAGTAATAAAATAATAAAAATAAAACATTATAAAATAATTCTCACGACGTTTCGGCTACAACGCAAGCAGCCGTCTTCAGGTGAAGAATGAAACACTGCCAAGCTTGGAGCGTATATATAAGCTGGGTTGGAGGTGGAAGAGCGCCTTGACAAAAGAGCCGAAACGTCGTGAGAATTATTTTATGTTTTATTTTTAGTATTTTATTACTTCCCTTCTACATGACTTTACCGAAAGAACCAAGAAGATTAATCCCTGCAGTCACGAAAGCTTTAAATCGAAAAAAGTCAGAGAGCAGTGTGCTCGTGTTTCGGGGTTAAATCCCATCTCTCTCTCTGAACCAATAATTTGGTAATGTGTTTGCGTTGGCAGACACGCAGTGTGAATAAATAACTCCACACATTCGTCAATCACACCGTTGCATTGAAAGACGACGTTTCGGGCAATGGCGCTTCTTCTTAATAGCACATGCACAGAGACGCTAAGAGGAATACAGTGGGCAATACGAGTTGGAGAGCCTGCATGTCACAACTTAAACCTCCCCAAAACATACGGACCGGTTTTAAATTGCCATCTATTTGCATAATATCGATTGAACCGGCCACTGGTTTGTACAGTTGTACATTACGCGTCTTGCAGCGTGCACGTGCTCGCCGTTGCAGGATTTGTGTGTGCATGGTTGTATACAAGTATAACCAGTAAAAACAAAGTTTTTCACTATAAATCCTTTATATGCGTGGCGGCAAGAGTCCTCTCGTCCTCTGCCTTGAGATGGCTGCCACCTATGGGTCAGATGATTGTCTGCCAGTATTAAGCGATTGGTAATTAAATATTTAATTTGTTTTCCCTAAACAGTGGAAACTTTTGGAATGTTTTTTTCCACGAACATTAATTGTCTCGCACAACGAGTCTGTGTGCAAAACGTCAGCTCGATTGGATCACGGGAAGTGGGTTAAAAAACGACCGAAAGGTTTGCACGGTCGTAAGCAAGCAAGCACGTGTGTTATGTGTATGTTGTATGCGGGAGGCATGTAATGTTGCGTACCGGTGCCATGCAACACGCAGTAATATTTCTTAAACCTAGAAATGCCAAATACATCTTGAACAACAACAATAAATTAGCGAAGGCAAACCCCAACCCCCCCACCGCCCACGAAGGGGTCCGCGTGCGGCTCCGTCTGCCACCTAAAGGCCGACGCTGCCACCACCAACCCCGGCGCGGGTTCCAAGCAAGCCCGTAGGCTTCATCGAGGCCTACAACTTCGAACGCCGCTCCTGAACCGCAAAGGTTCGCGTTGACAAGCAACGGATTTGGCCGTCGTCCGTGGTTGCCCTTCGCTGTGGTGGCCCACCGAGGTTTTGTTACCTTTGGCGGCGGTGACCGACGCCGGCGAAGTTTTTGCCGCAACGACTGAGAGCGACATGGCACCGCGACGATTGTAACAAGCGTGGGTGGATGTTATTGCGCAAGAGGGAGATTGAGGCCAGAGCAATCGAGCGACAGAGCGCGATTGCTGTTGGCACGTTCAGTCGATCGCCGATAAACTCGGGTATCGGTAATCGATTGCACTCGCCTACTTGATCCTAAGCGGTTCCGTTAAGTTTAGGATGGAGTTGGAACTCGAGGTTAAGTGATTTGCATCGCAAATGGATAAGGTTAAGTTAAGTGTTATAATGGATAAGGTTAAGTTAAGTGTTATAATTTGACGTAAGTGATTCCCCGAAGTTTCACAATGAGTTAGGGCTTTTTAGATTGGACGCTTATGAGGGTGATTTTTTTTGTCTTGAATAATTTTTCTTAAATTGCATTGAGAGTTGAAGGCAATTTCGGTGAAAGGGACATTTTTACATCAGTGATTGTCCTTAGGGGCCGGCCATAAATGACGTCACAAGATTTTGGACGATTTTTGATCACCCCCCCCCCCTCGTCACACGGCGTCACAAAAAGTCAGACCCCCCCTCAAATATGACGTCACAAAGCTCTGCCCCCCCCCCCCAAAAAATAACATTTCCATACTTCAAATCGCTTTAAACTATTGTCATTGTAGTGCGTATTTAATGTGGCGCTGCACTCTGATGTTGTAGGAGGAAACATAAAAAAAAATAATTAAGTTGAACGTGTTGTCTATATTTATTTAAAGTTGCGCATTTTGATGTGACGTCACATTTCTCAAACCCCCCCCTCGTCACACATCGTCACAGATGTCTGACCCCCCCCCCCCAGGTGCATGACGTCATTTATGGACGGCCCCTTAGTGATTCCCCGAAGTTTAACAATGACTTAGGATTTTAAGATTGGACGCTATGAGGGTGATTTTTTTTGTCTTTAATTTTTTTTCTTAAAAATAAACTTGAAGATTATTTTTACTTGAGTGGTTTCCTATGCTTTAAATTTACACTATTAAGATGGAAAAACAATACATGTGTATTTATTTATTTCACTTTCTAAGGTGTAATTGTATAGGTTACTTGAGGTGATATTTTTTACTTAACAGATTTTCCTTAGTCGTGAGAACGAAAACGGGTGCATGGCGGAGCAGAGCGATTTGGAGTTAAGTTAGAAATATTTTTAAAAATGGAATGAAGACGTTGGCTTAAGTGGTTTACAATGATTAAGAGCTCTGGCCAGCAAGGAAGAGCAGGTCAATAATCCCATATTGCTGAGGACGCCCTTCTGCCAGCAGTGGCATGAGCAAGCGATTTCAGGGCTGCACCTTTATCTCATTTACTTTGCTATTTCAGTTGGATATATGTATGTGAATATACTCAACACATTCGTAAATAACAATGAGAATGAAAAATATATAAATAGGTGAAGTTGTTTGTATATTAGTCCTTCAAGGCATACAGACGATGAGGCAAGAGATACGTGCAGTGGATAACAAATAAAAAAGACAAAGATCCCCCCTATAGCCTTAACAGACTGTTGGGGCAAGTGCTGTTAGCGAGCACCTATGAAGGCCGGCACGGCACACGAGGGGGGGGTGGGTGGCCAGCACCACGCCCGGCCGCCTTTGTCTCCCCAGTGGCGATGTTTTACACACCGCATCAGGTACTCATTTGTGTTTAATTTTCGATTTAAAGCTTTCGTGACTGCAGGGATTCATCTTCTTGGTTCTTTAGGTAAAGTCACGTAAAAGGGAAGTAATAAAATAATAAAAATAAAACATAATAAAATCAAATACTTCTCACGACGTTTCGGCTACAACACAAGCAGCCGTCTTCATGTGAAGAATGAAACACTGCCAAGTTAGGAGCTTATATTTAAGCTGAGTTGGAGGTGGAAGAAGAAGAGAGCCTTAACAAAAGAATGTTCATATCAAGAGGAATTTAGCATATTCATGGGAAAATGCGTACTCATTTGTGGCTGAGTCGACCTAGGGGAGGCCCAGGACCGGTTCAGATAACCGTCACTGGGTGTTGGTGAGCGGGAATCGAACTCGGGTGGCAGGGTTCGTAGCGCAGCGCGTTACGATACCCGCTCCCCCGCTAACAAAGACAAAGATCCCCCGTATAGCCTTAACAGACTGTAGGGGCAAGTGCTGTTAGCGAGCACCTATGAAGGCCGGAACGGTACACGAGGGGGTGGGTGGCCAGCACCACGCCCGACCGCCTTTGTCTCCCCAGTGGCGATGTTTACACACCGCACCAGGTACTCATTTAAGGCTGAGTCGACCTAGGGGAGGCCCAGGACCGGTTCAGATAATCGTCACTGGTGTTAGCCGTGAGCGGGAATCGAACCCGGGTCGCCAGGTTCATAGCACAGCGCGCTAACCGCTACACTACCGCTCCCCGCTAACACACACGTACGCACGCACGCACACACCGCTACACCCTCTTAAACGAAATCACATCACCTCGCTTCGCACATTAAAATTTAAACTGTGTATAGCAGGCACCGGAGTGAGCACTCAGAGGTCAGCAGCCAAGGAGAAGACCGCAAGCCAGATGGTAGGGATACTGCAAGAGCAGATCTTGAAGGTTGCGTGTTGACTTTGCAGCAGCAACAACAACAAAACTGTGCAATTTGAGCAGAGGTTTCAAGTTTGTTTCGTTTAACCAGTTGAGAACTCAGGAGACCAGGGAAAAGTCTCATTTGCAAGATTGACCTGGGGCATTAGTCTGAACAGGAGGGGGCAATGATGAGTGCTGCTATGTGTGTGTGTGCAAACCTAACCGAGTAACCTGCGGGTAATTTTCGAATTTGGCAAATGTTGACTCTGACGCTGGCAAACGAACCAGCTTTATTCCAGGTCACGGCTAACATGAATGGCGAGCGATATCTGAATCGGTCCATTGGCTCCCTCTTTGTGCCAACCTGCACTGACCATCGTGGTGAAGTATGGTCAAACAACCCCCCATGACCGACACGGTGTGAGGAGACCTTCATCCAGGGCAACATCGTTCCATGTATAGGAAGTTAAAATGAAGTGAAAAAAGACCGTCTGGTTCTTGTTTCAACCGTGTGAGTCTCATCAGCAGACTGAGGCCTCTTAAACAATGCTGTGTTGCCAGATTGTATTGCCAAGAGCAATCCATCAAGCCTGTGGCACGCAGCTATTATTATTAAATGTTCCCTGTCAATGTCAATGTTTCGGCTCCATCAGAACAGGTAACATACGCGGTTTGATTAATCCCCTAACGCAGTAATTTTTCGTTTCGATTTCACATTTTTTTTGCTCTGATTTCTAATTTGCTTCGATGCATTTCTACTTGATTTTCGTGCCGGTGTCATTTTTGGTGACCCGGGTCACTCTGGCAGTTGGAGAATTTACCTCTGGTCTCTTCAAATTCTCACCTGGTCGAAATTGAAACTTTAACTTGACGTGTGAGCGCTGACTTGTTTCCGTAGTTTTTTTTTAATCGTTATGTAAATATCCCCAATATCAGCAGGCCACAAAAGAGGCGTGAATTATTCATAGTTGGCACCAGGCTTCTTGCAGTCCACTCAGGTGTTTCTGTTCAACCATTAACCGGTGACCGTTTACTGTCTTCTTCCACCAGCCACACGCACTTACCCTGGCACAAGCGATCACTCATATTTGTTGAATTTTGATTTAAAGCTTTCGTGACTGCAGGGATTCATATTCTTGTTTATTTCGGTAAAGTCACGTAGAAGGGAAATAAAATAATATAAAACAATAAAAATGCTCACGACGTTTCGACTGCATCACAAGCAATCATCATCAGGTGTGAAAACCACAGCAAGAAATTTTTATTTCGAAACGTCGTGAGAATTTGTATTGTTTTATATTATTTTATTTCCCTTCTACGTGACTTTACCGAAAGAACCAATAATATCTTATTTGTTGCTTCAATGCATCTCCGTCCTGTGCCACGTCGGTGATATCACCAGCAATCACTCAAATCACTGCACGGATGCATCTGGTGCCCCCCCCCCCCCCCCCCGCTGCATATATATAAACGTGTGACATGCATGGCAAATCGACCCGGGTTACTACAAGGGTGACTTTGCACAAACCCGTTCCCTGCTGTGCTTGAGACGTCAACCTGCCTCAGAGCCAAGGGGTTTAGTTGGTCCCACCTAAGGTGGCAAATGCTACCTCAGGTGTCAACCATGAGCAGTGTCTACCATGGGCATTGTCCACCCATCAGCAGAAAAAATTATCGTATATAGTGCATTTAAAAAATATATGTTCTGCCTATGTATTTTGTATTCCGTCGATGTTTCATATCACATTTTTTTTCCAAAACGATTTTCTCTATCAAGCATACATACCCCAGTAAATATTGAACGTTGGGCTCAACATTGGACGAACTTTGGGCCAAAGGTTCCAAAAATACGCTAACGTTGTCGCAACGTTTCCACGTTTACTGTGACAATACCATTCATTGACAAAACTATATTCATAAAAAGCTACCGCAGTCATCTTGCTATCAAACAGTGTCGTAGAGAGATAAAATATTTCAAGGTAATGATTGTAAGCATGTGCCATCCTTGGCTTGGTGGTACTGATAATTTTGGCCCAATGGCTGAAGCGATCAAACAGCATAAGTAATACTAATGATTTTCACTCATTAGGCGCCTTTCAAATAACGTCTCAAGGCGTCATGGATGAAAAGGGAACAGGAATAACCGCGCGGAAGAATAAGAGCCAAGGAGGGCTTCCAACTAATGAGGATGAACTTTATTTCAACGGAGCTTTTTAGTCGGAAATTAAAGACATCAACACTGTCCGAGAGTCTGATCTCTAGCAGTGGGGAGTTCCACAAGCGTGGGGGGGGGTGGGGTTCGGTTGGCGTAGGGGCACGAGTGGAAAGTTCCACAACTGGGGGGGGGGCGGTTTGTGTGGGGGGCACGTGTGGAAAGTTACATAAGTGTGGGGGGGCGGTTTGTGTGGGGGACACGTGTGGAAAGTTCCACAATTGGGGGGGGGTGGTTTGTGTGGGGGGCACGTGTGGAAAGTCCCATAAGTGTGGGGGGGGGCGGTTTGTGTG